CTTCTGTGTGGTTCATGTTGACTCCTTAGTCTCCTCACCACATCCACATCACTGCTTGTTTGCCCTAGGGGCCTAAGCACCCACCAGCCATCGGCTCCATCTGGGCTTCCATCTCTTCCTCTCTGGAGTTCCGCAGGCTTTTACAGCAGAAGAGGTCTGTGCTGCCTTTAAGGGTTTATGGGACTACCCTTTAGGCTGAAGTTTCTCGGACCTGGCTGGCCATTGTTTCCTGGGGGCAGAGCACACAGGTACCCACCTACTGGCATGACGTCACCCCTCCCCCCAACCCCAACTCCGCTCACCTTCCAGAGGCACCTGGAAGTGCACAAGCCTCATGCATCTCCTTCCCGGGGCTCCAGTAATGAATGCTGCTGGCCTTGCCTGCTCCTCTCCTGTGGCTGGAGACTTCAGGCTGACTTCGTTGTTTCCTCCTTTGGAATATTCCCAGACTAAACTGGGCCTGACCCAGCATACTCTGCCTTCTAGGAAGTGCCAGCAAGGGGAAAAGCGGACAGGAAGAAGCGATTTCCCTTTAGTCACTCCACAAAGCAATAGCTCCATGGAAGGCATGGACTTTGTTCCTCCTCCTCACCCCCCACGGAGGAGGTATCGCACTTTACCAAGCTGATGCATTCCTACAGGAGAGGGCCCACGGTTTCTGCAAACCGACTGTCAATACGATGACTTCATTGGAGGAAAGGTAATACGTGCCTACAAGGGCCCCAGGTTTATACAGTTCAGAATGCAGCAAACCTTTCAGGAAGCCACATAAACAAAAATTGATTACTTTCCTTATACCAGTGACATTGGGAAGGAACCATACGCTCTTGGCAGTGCTTTTTTTTTAAACTGCATTCTCTCAGTTCAAAGAAGGGGATCCCCTTTAAAAAGCTACCTTGATGAAGCAGACACTGTTCCTTCATAGTGAAAAGACAGCATTAGAAGTCAGGAAAACTGAATTTTCTTCATGGCTTTGTACTTCCCTGCTATGTGACCTTAGGCAAGTCACCGTCCTCTTGGATCCTCTGTTTCCCTATCATCTGTAAAATGAGTTATTTGAAATGGATGGTCACTAGGGGTCCTAAATCTGGCATTCTAAGATTTTTTTTCTGTTTTCACTCTCCTGTGGGGAGGTGATTCTCACTCTCAGAAGGTACTGTCCAAATGGGTTTGCATGTGTTCCCCCAACACCGTTTTTCTGGGTCTTATTCTTTACAGTTCCCCATGTTTTAATGTCATGAGGATGAACTCAGAGAAGCTCCCTTGGCCCCATTTTTCCAATCTATGAAACGAAAGGGTCAGATTAGGTGGTCTCTGTGGCCCTTCGCAGCACCAGCCTTGCCCAGTGCCACACAGCAGGCCACGGGCTTTCCATGACGCAAGCTGGTGTGTCTCCTGTTCCAGTGCTGCTTGGGGCTTCTCTGCCTCCACTCAGTGTGGGAACCAGCGTTCACCTCGCCCTTGTCTGCGTCAGATCTGGCGATCCTGGAGGAGTCTCGGGGAAGTACCTACCTGACTTTCACAGACAGGAGTGTTTTGCTCATACTTCCATTTTCCCGGAGTTTGCCAATCATGTGGCTTGCCTTTTCTCCACATCGCTGCCTCAGATGCTCAACTTAAGATGCTGTTTTCAAATTCTCTTCCTGCTGCTTTTGCTGAGTCACTGGCCAGAAACTAGCTCAAGGCTACAGCCTCTCACTTGAAGTCTCCCTGCCATTCTTCACTGGTTGGCAACCCTGAGAGTCCAAAGAAAACAGACCTCTGTGGTGGTCAGCTGAGGCTAGGAAATTAGTCTGTGGCTCTTTGCTGGTGGAAAACAGGCGCCAAGCCATGCCTACAAAGATCTCGCCAATAATTCCTGTCTTTGGGCGTTGGAGCCCTGGATTCTGGTGCTGTAGCTCCTGGTGCCAAAGTCTGGATCTTTCCATGTTTCAGCAGCACCAACATCTGCCACCACCCAAAATGCTCTATGGAAGAGGGACAGCTCTGGTGCCCTCTTGCTGGGGCTGCTATCTTAAAACCTGAGTGCAATAGGGTTTGATTGTAACAATTATTTCAGGATAAATATTTTGTTTCCTTAATCTGCACATTTTCTAGAGTCGCTGTAAAAAAGGTTTTATTTTTAAATGTCCTCAGCAATTACAGAAAATACCATTTGCAATAGCAAGTGAAGGCTAGAGGTTCAGTTCCTCTAGGCTTCAAATGGCTGGCAAGGCTGGCTCTCAAATTCCAAAGTTGGAAGGCCCATTTTTGAAAAGCAGCCTAGGTGTGTGACCGTCTGGACCCAGGCCTCACCATCAGGGGTCCTGGAGGAAACTTCCAAATGGGAGACCTGATAGTCGAATAGCTGTCTAATCAAGCCAAATATTCCCACTGCCCCAGCCAACAACCCCACTTTTATGACAAGCATCTTTTGCAGCTTGGCTCTAACTCTTGAGTTTTACTGGCAGGTGTATGGCTGTGGGAGTTCCTAGTAAGGCTGGGGAACCTGGCACTCCAGAGCTGCCTGGCTGGAGGAAGCAGAGCTGGCTAAATGCCAGGAGCTGGTCTCCACCTGCTGCCACGTCTCTCACCACTCTGATACTAGAAACAATCAGAGAAAGCTGCAGGGATGGTGGGCAGAGAAGCCATGGCTGCGTTTGCTTCTGCATGGCAATGAAACAGAGTGTAGGTCAGAGGTGGGTTAAAGGGATTTGCAGTGGGGCCAAGGACTCCAACCTCAGCCACGGGCAAGCTTGCACATAACTCACCCCCATTGTGGGGTGTGGGAGGGTCTATACTGATCTTGGACTTGTCATCCTGGGGTCGTTTTAGTTCTTCATTTTGGTGGGTTAGTGCCAAGTGCCACCACTTCCCAGTAAAGGAATAGGGACCCTGCCTCTGAGTCCCCAGCTGCCTTTGTTGGTGTTTTGTTTTGTTGTTGTTGTTTTTTTAAATCATTAATCTGACAAGACTGCATTGAAAGAGCTGCTTTTAGGGATTACCTTTTAAATACCCCAGGTGGGGATCAGGGTTCTCCTCAAAGCCTCACAACCAAGATCATAGGAAAGGGGCCCTATTTTCCTGCTGCTTCACAGCTCAGAACATGTACTGAATGGAATGTATTTTTAAGAGAATATAGTCTATTTTTTGTATTTTAAAGATTGGGAGGGCTAGGGAAACAGCCCTCAAACTGTTATTGCATCATAGGCCCCCTTGCCAGGGGGTATCAGTATCTTGTTGGTCCGCACCTACTTGCTCAGGCAGGTGCTCTGGTCTCGCCGCCGCCCCTTGGAGTCTAGGTGCAGCAGCTTCTCCTACATTCCTGCTCCAAGCCTGGGACCAAGGAGGCTGGACCCTGTCGCTGGAAACCAGGGCGAAGCCATGAGCAGTGACTCAGGGCTCCTTGGGTGCATGTGTATAGTTGAAGCTGCCTGTCTGCATGTATCCTCTGGCTCTAATGCTGTCTGTTGGCTCTGCAGCACAATATGTAACCAATAAAGCTCCCTAGTTTCCACGTGCTCTGTGTGCGTGTGAGTCAGTGATGCCATTTTTGTTGATGTCATCTCTGCGTACAACTGTTGCTATGCACTGATGTAGCTAGTATATTTCACTGTATTTTATTTAAAATACTCAGGCAATTACTGATGCTGTAAGGACTGGAACTGTAGCTGAGGCTTGGAAAAGGACATTTCTCAGACCCATATAACTGGAGTTAGAATCATAGCAGCTGTTTCATTGCTACATTTTATTTTTAGGTTTATCTGTTGTCACACACACACACACACACACACCCCATCATCTGTGTCTCAAGCTGCCTATGCCATTTATTTAAAAAACAAACTCTTTAAAAAGCACGTACCATTGGATCAGATACCCTAACCCCGCTGAGGTAACAATATTCATGGCAAAGCTAGGATTCAAATATAGGTCATATTCCAAAGTCAGTACACTTTCTATTACATGCTGTTCTCACCTTTACCTCAGTTACACCACCTGCCCTGATCCTGGTGTGTAAATTTTTCCCATAGCTGTCATTCAGTCCAAGACTAGGGGAAGATCCATCTTCATCTTCCAGTCAGACCACCAATGTAATATCCCTTGAATTGTACTAAGAATAAAACCTCATTTAAACTAATTATAGGGAAGAATCGACTAACGGGGAAATCCAATTTCCAGAAGCAGATTATGTTCATACACTTACAGTAACACTGTCTGTTAGGAGCCCTTTGGAAGGAAAAGGCACTGATCCCTTTTTGTTGTAAAAATGTTTTAACCTTATGCGGCAAAAAGGACTTTGCAAATCTGATTAAGGATTTTGAAATTGGGGGAGACAATCTGGGTGGGCCTTAAACGAAATCACAAGTATCCTTGTGAGTTAGAAAAAAGATCTGACTACAGAACTAGGGAAGGTGATGAGGGAAGCGGAGATTGGAGTAATGTGCTCTGAAGATGGAGGAAGGGGCCACAAGTCAAGGAATACAGTTACTAGAAGCCGAAATAGGCAAGGAAATGGAATCTTCCTTAAAGTCCGCTGTGGCAATTTGCTACAGCAGCAATAGGAAATTAATACACCAGCTAAGTTACCTAAACCCTTGATCTCTTTAAACTTTTATACCAGTATTTTGGTCAGAAGTGGAAAGTTAGCACATACCCATGGAGAGAATCTGGTGGAATAGAGCCAGAATGGTCTGCCAGAGGCCCACCCAAACTTTGTATCAAGTTTTGTGTTATCTTGAAAATTCATTCAGTTTCCATATGCTTGACCTGCAGCTTCATACCCTTGGCACAGTTACCCTACAACCCCAGTGGGGAAGTCCAGCCCCACAGACCAGGAAGCCCTTTGCCTCTATGGGAACCCCCCCCCCCCAGCCCTATCTTTTGACTCAACCAAACCATTTTTTCTCCTTTATATAAACATCTTACTTATTTAAACATGGATAAAAGGCATTTTCAAAGGAGTAACACCCCTGCCTTGTATATATAACTCTAACCCTAAGGGGAAACAAAAAAGATAGGACTAATTTTCTATGAAGTTTTATTCTCAAAATATAAAAACTCACCACACACACAGGCTAGATGTTCTCGCAGAGTGCTTGCCTGCCTCAGTCCTAACAAAGAACGCAGACGCCCACACTAACGGACAAGGCCTACCCTGCTCTAAATCACCTAAAGGAGGCAACCTCCTTGGCTACCTGACCACCACGAGCCCGGATGCCAGGGTGAATTTCTCAGTGGAATCTAATATTGCTAGAAGAGCTTTGCTTATGCAGCAAAAGACATACATATCAGCCTCTTCCCTTTGAATACATCTGTCTCACATGCTTGGGGACTGCTGTGCAGGGACGCCTGGAGTGGCCTGGCGAGGCAGGGTGTACATAGCCCCCAAGAATTGGTCTGCAATCCTTCCTGCTTCTCGCAGCCCACTCAGCAGAGCACCATGGACTGTCGCTGGGTAGTTACGGATTGTATGTTCTCCAGCAAAGAAGAGTCGTGGAATAGGCTATTGCGGGAAAAAAAAATTAGAGAAAATGAGCAGGCTGCAATATAGGCTTTTATTCCTCTTGTGTCTGAACTGCCAGATTCCTGCTGGCCTTTAAAGGCTCCCTCCTTCCATCTTCCTCCTGCTCACCCCAATTACTGGGCCTTCATTCTACCCAAAAGGGTCTCCCTTACAGCAGGCACCTTCCTAGAGCTGACAGAAGCAGAAACACAGTAGCTCACCCCAGCCTTAGTTCTAGGGTGATGCTTAACTATTGGTGCTTGTTTACTGGTTTATTCTGGGGGATGCCCAGTTCTAGAGCTTCCTTTACTTCATGTAGTACCTACTGGGGGTTGGGGGTGTTCTGACTAAACTATAGAGAATACAGCATTTGTTCTTATTCAGGAAAACTTCTGCCCCTCAGCTCAGAGCAGGCCTTTTCTCAGGGGCATGTCCTGGAGGCCTCTAAATAATTGGGACCCTGCAACAATCCTATGCACCAGTACAAAATGGGGCACAATTTAAAATGTTTTTGGTTTTGTTTTTTAGGAAGGAAAATCTGAATAAGGGAAAAGTAATTGGTTTATACTCTGGACTCTTCCATTCTGAACAGAGACTACCTAGATTGACAAAGCCAATATATGAAAAATCAGACACAAATAATAGTGCTTTCTCTCTGCTCTTGGTTATCTGAAAGGGTCCAAGGACAGAATGATTCATATCTAAAACCAGTGGCATCATTTTTACCCTGAGATCCTGGGATACTGGCTTGTTTCCAAATAAGCCCACATATAGTTTGCCAGTTTCTCACCTGTGGGGCACCTGGAATTGAGGGGCCAGGAGTGATTGGCTGAGCCATTAAGTCATAGTCATTTCCAGATGATCCTGCAGCTACATAGGAATAGGAGCCCCGGGCCCAGGGATCAGCGCGCCAGCGAGACACCACAGTTTCCTTGGGCTAAAGGAAAAACCACAAGTGGAAGTTATTACTGGACACCAAGGCCAAATCAATCATTTTTGAAAGGTGGAAAAGCTGTGATGGATGGGGATTCAAGTGAGAGAACGAGGCAACAGACACATGAGTTAGCCAGTGATGAACGCTGCTGCTGTAGGACCAAACACAAATGCCTTCAGGCTGCAAGGGAGCCTCCAGGTTGCCTTCTCATCTGCGAATCCGATCTACCCAGGACTTGACCTTTATTCTCTTTCAAAATTCACATGAAGCAATATGCCTTCTCTCAAAGGAATCATAAGAGCCTGAAAGTGTTTCAATGGGCCCAAAGAAAGAATAATAGAAAAAAGTATCAAAAGATTCTCTTAAGACTTCCCTAAGGGAGTCTGGCCAGTGTCTAAAAGCTGGTTGTGGGGAGGAGAGAGGGCAGGAAGATGATTCCACAAGCAGAGACAACAGGCAAGACAAGCAAAGAAATGCAGCAAATACCCTTCTCAATCCCCTGTGCCCCGTACTGGGGGCTCTTCTCAATCCCACACACAGGGCAGGAACTCTTAACATTAGCATTAATGTAAACCCAGCATACATGCCTCAATTCTAGCTGAAACTCTGTGCTGACCAAGACTCTATGCTGCAACCTGAGACACATCAAACCCTGCTTTAGTCTGCCCCCGACCACCCCCACCTCCCACTTACTTACCTGGGGCACTGCACTGCTACCAAAAATCCCTTTAAGAATGGCCAGGCATCGGCCAACAATCACATCATCACTTATGTTTTCCATGATGCCAGCAGCTTCTCCTGCCACTAGTGCCAATAGTATTGGAGCTAGAGAAACAGAAAGGACAATTCCAGGGTTTTCCTATAGACTTTTCTCAAGTACCTCATCAGGTCCCATGTTATTCTTGGCTGTCTGAAATCTGATGACCAACAGACATGCACCACTCATGCTAGAGACATCCTTCTGAAACAGCAACCTGAATTCTGTCTCCAGAAGGGAGCTGGCAAACCACAGTGAGTGAAGTGTGACTCACAGACTTCACTGCTTAACCTGGCAGAATACGGAAGTCCTGAAGATGCAATTTCAGACCTTGCTGACAAGTGTCCCTGCACTTTAGGCACAGAATTCTTGGACATCTCCATGACCAGAGCTGCATCCTTTTAGTTGTCATCCCAGGCCCTCCACACTCATCATCACCTTTACTCACCCATTTGGTGACTCTCTGCAACAGCCTTATGTGATAGGCACAGTAACAGATGCTGGGGGTATAAAAGCTGTAAACTAGACTATGTAGATCAACAAAGAATCACAGAGATACAGAATTATGAAATTATGATAAAAGCTGTGAAGAAAAACATAGGATATAAAGAAAATGCAAGGACATAATTTATAGAGTTGAGGCAGTGGAGGTACATGTGTCCTGAAAAGCCTCTGAAATAGTGACATTTAGGTCAAGACCTCAAGGCTCAGTAGAGTACTCCACGCTGGGAAGGAAGAGAAGGAGAAAAAAATAAAAGCACCCTAGGCCCAGGCCACGGCACAATGCAGAGGCCTGAAATAGAAGACAGCATGATGCCTTTTAGGATTCCAGGAGAGGAGACAGGTATGCCTGGAGGCAGGGGAGGGGATAGACGATGAAGCTGAAGCAGAGAGAAGGGCTGGATTATGTGGCCTTCATGATGGCCATGATAATGAAAAGCCATCAAAAGACAAAGCAGGGGTAGCAGTCAGTGGTTACTGGCAAGTGAACAGGTATGAGGTGAGAGTGGCTTAGACTGGGAAAGAAGTAAACAGGTCAGAGAGTGAGGCTGGCACTGACAGGACATGATGGCCTGGATGGGGAGAAAGAATGAGTACTTAGCTATTACTGGAAGCAATGTGCTCAGGGAACAAGTGGCTCCTCTGAAGAGTTAGTGGCCCCAGCCATGTGATGGATGTTTCAGTATCAGGCAATGAGGAGTGATTGGAAGAACTGGGGTGGAAGTCAAACTGGTTAACTGATGTGTCTGCACTGTCAAAGGCCAGGCCTCCTGATTCTGCTGCACCGTAGCATGTCTTACATCCTTTTCTTGGAATGAGGCAGGGTCTAAATATAGTTTTTTTTTCTTAAAGCTCTATATAAAATTAAGAGCAACCCAATGTCAGAAGAATGTAAAACAGGAGTTGGGAGTTTGATAAATATCTTCTAAGGGAAGTGATCAAAGATTCAGAGGCAAATCAGATACAAAAGCCTGAGAATGAGGAATACAAGTTTCCCCTTCCAGGAAGCTTCCCTGGGCATGTCCCCACCAGCTGAGTTGATTTCTTTGTCTTATGTTTTCTTTTGCAGTGCCCTGGGCTCTCACTCTGTCACTCTACTTACTGCCCCGTTCTGAGACCGCCTACCTCCTTACTGTATCCCCTACTAGGTCGTGAGCTCCTTGAAGGCAGGTTTTTTCTTTTCTTTCTTTTTTTTTTTTTATATGCCCAGCTCCTAGAAGGGATTTCAGGAATTGTCTGTTGAGTTAATGAAAAATCAAGACCATCTATTTGAGGAAAACCAAAATATTCCTAATTCTCTACTACTATAAGAAAATGCAAAAGATTAAAACTAGAGAGCAGTTACCTTTATAGAGGTTCCAGAAGAGGAAGAGCTCACCCCTGCTGGCAGTCGTACTGCCCACATGTCCGAACAGATTGACACTTGGATCCCAGAACACCCGGTCAAAACACAGCACGACCTACCGTGAAAAAAGAGCACATGAGCTGGTGACAGCGCTCAGAACGTGGCTTTAAGCACAGCTGCGCCTCAACGGGAAGTACTTCTTCCTCAGACCTTATTAAGTAAGTTTCTTCTAATATAATATTATATAATATAAAATATGTAATATTATATAGTAATATAAAACTCAATATGAGCCTAGAAATCCCTATTGTAACTGCACTGCTCAGAAGGACATTCAGAGCTCTCTTTTTGTAGGCTTGGGTTTGTGAAGTGACCCCAGAAGACAGTCTTCAATGGGTACTTTATATGTAATTAGGCACTAAGTGAATGAACTGATAGGCCTCACTCTGATATCACAGAGCTGAGAAGATAGCAAAATGTACAAAAATGCAACCCTGTCTCCTGAGTGGAGGGCAGTAAGACTGGTGCTTGTACAGTGGGTGTGCAGAGGTGCCCAGGGAAGGTTACCTTGTTAAGGTTGCCAAATCCCATCCTCTGGACTGCAGATGTCTTCCACTCAGGAAGAGGCGGCACAAACTGAACAGCTGGTGGCTGCTGCTTCAACACACCCAGGGGAAGGGTACAGAGAACTGCATCGCATTTATAAATAAAAGTCTGGCTCGTGGAGCGGGTATTCACAGCTATCACTTCACATCCTAGAGAGGTTTGAAAGAAAAGACTTTATTGGTGATAAGGATGATACTGACAAGGGTACTGAACATTTAGTGAGCAGCAGAATCAACACGTGATCTCAGTTAATTCTTACTACAAGTCTATGAAGTGAGTTCTACTCATTTTTTACACAAGAAAAGCAAGGCAGAGATGAAGTAAGTTGTCTAAGGCCATACAGATAATAAATCTGGGATTCAAACACAACAGTCAACTTCAGAGTCCTCGACCTTAACCACTATACTACCCCATGTTCCTGACTGATACACTGGTGATCTTCAGGACTAAAAACAGGAACTTATCATTTACCAAAGTTAAATTTAGACCAAAATTAACAGTAAAATGCCTGTCCCAATGGAACCAATACCTCTCCACTGTGGTTAGGTGCTCACTAAGGACCAAGAGAAGAATGATACCAGAAAACTGTGGTGCAGATCTAAGGGATGCAGCTTAAAACGGCAGAGCACGCTGTTCATGAGAACACACTGTGATGCTTAGCTTGCCAGGGTGTGAATGAGCTCAAAGCTGACCACAGAAAAGGTACTGAAAATAGGTTAATGTAATTTTCCCTCATTTATGTTCAATTTTTCTTTAATAAATGCCTCTTTACATAATTTCTGAAAAACACATGAATAGCTCAAAATAAGTGAGTGCTCTGTACATGCCCATTTTCTGTGGTACAAAACTAGGGAAAATCACACAAAAGTTAGTCTCACTGTCCTCTACCCGCCTGCAAACGGCTACTTAACGGCTGCAGACCTTCTCAACACCACCAGCTAAAAGTGGCCTCTGAAAGGAAAATTAAATGGAAAACTGTTTCACTGTCTGCTATGGAGGCAAGATTGGTGGCCACATCTCCACCTGTCATGAGGACTCTCGGAGAGGAGGGTGACTAGCTACTGTAAAAGACTATTAATTCCAAAGGTGGGTGGATGAAAAGTTCTCTGAAATGGACCCTGAAAGCTGCAATAATGAGCACCAAGCTCAATGCCACAGGAATTACAGGACAATTCCATCTCTAAAATCAACCTATCAGCAAGACTGTTCCCAAAATGAGAAACTGGCCTAAGCAGTTAGCCCACCTGGAGAGAAGCCAGAATGGATCCAAATGCCAAGACGCAGATGGTGAAATACAACGGGAGGGTCACACTGGAGCCTAGGGGCCCAAATCCTTGTATTTAAGAATATACTTAGCTAAACTAGATCCAAACTCACTGGTTGTTGTAACACCATATGAATTCATGCACAAGTTAGAGATGCTAAAAACTACCTCCGTTTTCTGGTTTATGCTGTGACAGGGTTATAGCCTCCAAGGGCCCCACAGGCTCGCCTTTCTGTAGATGCAAACTTTTACATCCAGGAGTCACAGTCTACCAGACATCTCATCAGGAGATGTACCCAATATTTTTTCTGGAAGTCAAACTCAACAGAAGATCAGTACCGTGTTCCATAGTAAGAGGTGTACCTTACCAGTGAAGCACTGACATACCTGAAGCTGTGTAGCGAACCTGCCGAACCGCTGTGTTCAGCTTAATATCCAGGCCTTCTGCTAACGCCACAGGCACACAGGAGTAGCCATTCCTCACTGTCAGGTGGCTGCCGGTAAACTCAAAGTCATCATCCTAAAGAGGACAGAAAAGTACATATTTTCACACTTTCTTAATTTAATTTATGCCATTATCCTGAGTTCTGTAACAGTGAGAAAACACCAGCTTGTGGCAACAGTCAATATTCTAAGGCAGAAATTAAAGAACAAGCACTCAGCCTTCATCGAAAGCTGCCCCAGGAAACTAAAGAGAAAAGAAAAAAACACCAAAATGTCCCTAATGGCTCTCTTCGGGCAGTGAGATTAGGGCAGTTTACTCATTCCTGAGATACTTTTTATTGTAATAACGCTGCATCACCAAGTCCAGATACTACACAATGAGGGGTGCAAGAGAGGGAAGGAAGCTGATTCAGTAAATTCAGATGATTAGATATCATAAAAATTTGTTTGGTTTTTGAACCCATTACAGATTTGGTAGGATGTCAAGATTCTCCACCCTAATTATTACATCTCCTTTTACCTAACAGCAAAATCAGTTTTTATGTCTTAAACTTACAGGTTTTAAAGTTGAGGAAGACTTCCAAAACTAAAGCTGGTGAAACAAGATGAAGGCAATCTAGGATTATAAAATCTGGCCCAAGATAATTCATACAGTAAAGAAGTCAGGATTTGGCCTGGAAGAATTCCCAAAATGATTTTATGGCTTGGAATTTACTGAAAAATTTTCCATATAGAGAAACTTCTGAAGGCTAGCTGATATTTCTAATTTCATGAAATTCCTGGAGATACATACCACAATTCTTAGGAATTAGGTAAAAACATTAGGCTGGCAGAACTCTTACTACTTGGTGACTGACTCATCTGTTCCCCATATGGATGAGTTCACACCATCTACATTCCAAATTTAGTATGATCACAAATGAACACATTGAAACTTCAAGTGATAAATCAAGTGACTAGGATAAGACTCATTTAGTATTTATATAAAAAACCATAAAGAAACTGAAAATTCTGTAAAATTTATACCATTGACAAGTCCAATCCTTGCTATAATTCAGATTTTAAAAAATACTGACCAGGGCATAATCTAAAGATGAAGATGTCAAAACAATTTTACTAGGAAAATGTATCATGAAAATGAAATATGTAAGTAAAATGCAATATTTATTTCTACACAATTTTTAAGTCTGGCCAAAATCTCAGATTTAGAGATTAGCCCACTCAACATCTAAGAAGCCTTTTGATTTCTCATCAGGTCAAGAGTAACATCACACTGAAAATACTTAATAATTTAACAAAAGATGTGTAAGACCTATACACTGAGCACTCTAAAGTACTGCTGAGATAAAGAAATCCTAAATTAAATGGAGAGATACACCATGTTCAAGGATTAGAGGACACAATACTGTTAAGATGACAATCCTAGAAGGTATTTTTTTGTAGAAATTGATAAACTGATTTTAAAATTTTATAGAAGACCTAAAAATAGCCAAAACACTTTCAAAAAAGAACAAAGGTGGAGAACTTCTAGTACTCAAATTCAAGATGTACTATAAAGCAACAGTAATCGAGACAGTGTGACAGCGGCATATAGACAGATATTGAACAGAAGGGAGTAATGGTAAATCGACTCACTTTAATTTTCAATGAAGAGAAAGAGTGGTGCTAGAATAATTTATTAGATAACCATATAAAAAAAATGAACCCTACCCTCACTCCTCATTATACACAAAAATTAACTCAAAATGGATCGCAGACCTAACATACGAGTTAAGTCCATAAAAGTTCAGGATGAAAACAGGAGGAAATCTTTGCAATCTGGTTTAGAAAAAGATTTTTCAGGATACAAAAAGCACAAAGCCTAAAAGAAAGAGCTGATAAACAGGACTTCATAAAATTAAAACCTTTTGTTCTTTGAAAGACACCATTTAGAAAATGAAATGGCAAGCTGTAGACTGGAAGAAGATATTTTCAAAACATAAATCTGACAAAAGTATTAGTGTATCCAGAATTTAAAAAAACATAATGAACTCTTAAAAAAGGACACACAACTAGGTTTTTTAAAATAGGCAATAGATCTGAACAGACTTTCAACAAAGAATTGACATTGGAATGGCCTAAAGCACATGAAAAGATGCTTCACATCACCAGTCATCACAGAAATACAAATCAAAACCACAATGAAAAACTACTATACAACCATTAAAATGGTTAACAATTTAAAAACTGGCAATACCAAGTGTTGGTGAGGATGTGGAGCAACTGGAACTTACATACACTGCTGGTGGAAATGCAATTTGGAAAACAGCTTGGAAGTTTCTTATAAAGTTAAAAATCTACTTCCCACAGACCCGACAATTTTACTCCTAGATATTTACCCAAGAGACAGACATAAATTTCACAGTAGCTTCAGTCATTTATAGCCAAAAACTGGAAACAACCTAAATGTACCACTGAATGGATAAACATTCTATGGTATAGCCATACAATGCATATGAATATTACTAAACAATAAAAAGGATAATGCCCAACAACAATGAATCTCAAAGCGAAAAAAGTCACATACAAAAGGCTATATACTGTATGGTTCAATTTATATGTAATTCTAGAAAAAGCAAAACTATAGTGACAGAAAGCAAATCAGTGGTTGTGTAGGGCCAGGAACAGGAGGGCCGGGGACTGACTGCAAAGGGGCAAGAGAGAACTTTTTAGGATGGCAGCCATGTTCTATATCTTAATTGTGATGGTGATTCATGACTACATCAATTTGGCAAAGCATCAAACTGCTCACTTAAAATAGGTAAGTTTTGTTGTATAAAAAATAAATCTTAACAGAACTGTTTAAAAACACACATACAAACACATTAACAGTTTCTCTAAGGAGCCCTCTCAGCCCCCATGCAACAAAATAAATGATAAAGGAATTTTACCTGATCCCAATGTTTAAGGGAGAGTGTAGAGAGAGGTGTGGCATTAGCAAATTCCAGATTTGCAAAATGCCAATCAAGTATCTGTCTGTCTCTTGACGAGAGATATACATCACTGCAAAAAGAGAACAGAAGAGCACAAGATTGTCAAAGGGCATTACTACTATTCTCAATAGGCTGATGTGGATGATCTCAGCGGGACTACACCTTACTTGAAGAAATTCTAAAGCTTATTTGTTTTAAATTGAAAATAAAGCATGGGCTTTTTTTTTTTTCCCCAGCAAAAATGGGTAGCATCCCTGACTACAGAACAGAGTAGATGTATGTGGAAGCAGATACAATATGGAGTATACTGTCAACATGTGTTCACTGTCAAAAATCCAATGGAAATAAAGTGTAATACTTTCCTAGTCCCCAGAATTATGAGAATTTAAAGCAATACCACCTTGTACCCCACCCAAAGACAATTTTCATTAACTATATTTTCGTTCAAATATCAGAATCTTATGGAGAAAGGCTATCTTTTCAAACACAGTATGTTTAAGCATCTAGGACACTCTCACACATTAAAATATAAGAGCAGGGGATTACGGAACCTGACAAGTAGTCCTATGTGCACAGGTTACTTCCATTTACTGAACAATCTACAGTCCAGTCACCGAACACAAATAAAATCCCAGGATGCTTTGTAATTTTCCTTCTAAATCTAACAGAAGGAACAGTAAAAGCTGAGTCTCTTTGTTTTCCTTACCTTGGGGGATTGGCTTCCAATTCTTGAAGTTTTTCTTCTAGTTTTCCTTGTGTTTCAGCTAATTCGTCATATTCCTGATAAAATTAAGAGAACCAGGTTGATCTTGATGGGACAGAGACCCACCCAGTTATTTATACCACAAAATGTAAGGCCTGGACCCATTCCTGTTCAGGTCAATCTACAAGTGTGCCTCAGCTTATGGCTGCGTCAAGGCTCCAGGATGGTTGTTCTTGGAGACAAGTTACAATGTTAGCCTGGAATTAAAAGTGGGGAGTGTGAGAGAGGGGAGGAGAGGCAGGAGGAGGAAATAAAGAAACATACTAGTATGCTAGATAGTAAGGATGACAGAGAATAGCGACTACCACTCCTGTGCACTGACCATGACGCTAGCACGGAATAAGCATTCTGTACCCCTACAAGTGAGGCAGAACGAAGCACCACGTTACAGATGAGCTAATTAACGGGTCCAAAGTCACGTGGCTAAGAGCTACAAGTTAAGGGGTTTCAGCCAGACAGTATGACTCTTAAGACTCTGAGTCCATGTTCATTATCATTATTCTAAACTGTCAGGGCTAAACTATGACAGAGGGCCAAACTGAGATGTAGGTAAGCTGAAGGATGAGATTATGAAAACAAGGTATAAATTCTGCAGAAAAAGCAGACAAAACTAACCCACTAAGTCCCCCACAGCTCCTGTGTACCAAACCCTCTTCTTTCTACTATAGGCACCTGGGATTGGCTGGTGGCTCTCTCTTTTCCAGTTTCCCAGATCTATACTGTTTCCTAGGATTCCAAGTAAATTCAATGAGGCACGCACGTATACCACACCTTGCACAGGGCAGTCAGATCCCTGTGTTTGCTTTTCACTAAGAACTCAGCAGTGATATCTCTGGGTGGCTTGACTTCAGATGCTTCTTTGTATTGCTGATGGAGTTCTTTAATTTTCTCTTTTAAATTTACCATCTAAGAGGGAAAAATACAAATTTACCATTTCAGATAGTGATATAATTCATTGCCAAAGCATGTGCTTTGGCTCCTCCCCTAAACTGCTATTATATCAAAACAGAGTTACAGTGCAAGGTCCCTGGAATTCTTTAATACCTCTTCCAAATCATGACATTTTAAAACAGGAAGAAGTCTACATGATTCAACATAGAAGTATCACATCACTATCAGATAACAGGATTGGCTCTGCTTTCTGAAACAAATGGGAGAGCTAGGAGTGTCGTCCCATTAATAAAAATATATTAAAATAAATTAAACTACCAGGAAAAAAAACCATCACCAATTTAACTTATATTTATTGTTTTGGGAAACAAATTGTCATGATTTGTTTTTTAAATATGTAAAAGGTCAAATCATCACAAAAAGAACCTTAAGGAACCATTCTGAATGTTAGTTTTTTCAGGTTTCTGATGCTGCTACAAAGACTAGGGTAAAGGTTAAAGCTCAGGACCGAAGCCCCACACCAGCTGTTCTCTAGCCTCTCTCCTCATTGCACACGCACCACAATCCATGAAGCTGGGCCAGAGAGCTCTTCATCTGTCAAGATGGAGAAATGAGGCACAGCAAGAGAGTGAGGCCGAGACCGATCACAAGACGCACCCAGATTTTGTGTTATAAAGCCCCCATATTTGCAGCTGGCAGGATGAGGAGAAACAAATGGCTTCCCACTCTAGAGCTTGGGCTTTGGAAGGTGGGTAAACAAGGACCTCAACAGACATACGACTGGGGAGTGTCCCCATACTGCCACCTCAAATGAAATAATTATGGCAATGAATCATGGTCCTGGCTGCTGACATGCTGCCTTCGTCAGTGGGAACCTGACCCCAGCACAGCTGATCTTCCTCTCATCCTGGATTTCAGCAGAGGGCACTGGGCCAGCTTTGCAACAAAGGCAACCTGACGCAGGAAAAACCTATTTCCCCCAGCAACAACTTGCCAATAATGTCATGCTGAAAGACTGACAGATAAAACAGTGTCTTTTGCTAGTCATTATTGCCTAAGAATAATGAGCCCCACCAGAGCAGACTTTAGCTTCCACAGATTAAAAAAATCAGAAATGTTTTTAGAATTTCTAAATTAAAGGGCCTTTTCCCCTTACTGATGCATCTTCAGTTATGAAAAAAATATACAGAATTTCACCTTATTAAGAAGTTCTTTCAGTTCCTCCTGAGTTTTCACTATCTTCTTCCAATGTTCAATCTGCTCATCTTTGACGTGCTTTTCTTGTAACCTGAAGAGACAATATGCATATCCTGGCCACAGAGCCAGCCTTGCTGCATAAGACAGGTGCCCATCAAAAACAATTTGATGGCATCAAAGCCCACTGAAATTTCTAATTCTTTGGAACAAGAAAGTTGGCTGGTGGCAAACTATTTTCTAGGCTATGTTAAATGCAGTTAACTCGGTACCATACAAAAGAAAATTTTACAATAGAGAGGCGGCTTAAGGATCATGTAATTATCTTAAATGGCTTTACTTTTGGATTTACCTGTTTTGCATGAAAATAAGTGAAAACCACCTCAAATAAGACTTGATGAAAAACTTAAAACATTAAACAGCAAGTCTATAAGCAGAATTCACAAAACAATAAGCAGTACCAAAGTACTTACTGAATGACAACTTCCAAGGCCTGACCAAGGGACACAGGCTTATTATTGAGGACATTGAAGTCTAGTTGATGACTAAGGTAAGATGTAGCTTCTAGCAACCGGTTAAACTCTTGCTCTACCATTTCATCTTTCTCTTTAGGAACCTGAAAATTCGAAGTATGGCAGAGTTGGTCCTTACAAGACTAAATATAACCATCCATGAAAACACAAATGCTCTACAGTTTAAAAGATCAAAACATGTATCTCAAAGGGGAAACCTTTGAGGACAATGATTCAAACTGTCTTTTCTATGAAGTGGTCAATTCTATTAAATGAGATATGAGATGTTTCAGCCCAGATATTCTCCAACTTTCACAATTTTGCCCTCAGAGCTGGGACTCCATCTCTATTAACAGACACAGGATTCACACTGGTGCTAAGTGAAGTCATGTGGAACACAAGGTGCCCTGGAGCTGACATGCACGGAGATAAGCCAGGCTGACATGCAGACAATACTGCTGGAAAAGTCCCAGAGAACAAAGACTGTGTCAACACACCTGAGCACCTTCCAGAACAAGGGCAGGATGAAAAAAGAAGCCCAAGGTATCTGATTTCCCTCAAAGATGACAAATTTCAGGTGGGAGTAGGGAAAAGAGAAGTAAAATTCATGGCTATTAATAAGAATTCTTTCAGAGTAGTAGGGTTTTATGGCACCATTTAATTTCAGAGTTGAATGTCCAAAGCTCTTAGACTCTGAGTGACTGAGGTACCAGGTCTGGCTCACTATTGTGGAGGAAGAGAACAGACTGCAAAGCAGATCATCAAGCTGCGAGACCACGCTCCTAACCCCTGCTGTGCCCCTGCCTAGTGATACCCCATCAGTTAGCTGACACAGTCCTCCTGCTACTGCTGAATTCAGCCCCAAAGTACACTGTATCTACACTCTTACTGCTGAACTTATGGCACTAGCGAGAAGGAAAGAGCATCTCTCTAAGGCAAGCATCTCCTGCCATAAAAAGCTGGGCACCAACTGGGAAATGGGATTCAAAATTTGGAATTTCACTTTACAATCAACCTAGAATTGGTAAAAAGAAAACAAAACATGAAAGTAAGTTCTAATGATCACTAAGGCTGACGAAGAGTGATCTTTTACAATTAGTGGTAAATACTGTGGACAAGATCGTCACAGTAAAACTCTACTTCTCATTTGAAACACCTTCATTTTTGCCCTTCCCAATTAAACAGATGATTTTGAAGCACTAGCCTCTGCCCCTTCACTGATGAGTCACACAACTCTATCAGATGGATCACGGTATGGCAAAAAGAATGTGGTGAGAAGTACAATCTGCACCAAAAAGTGAAAAGGAAAAGGACTGCAATTCTTTGGAACGGAAAATACGACAAGACACTATAACTAATTCAATCAAAACAATATTTTAATGCATCAAGTTCTAAAAGATCACACATGGGAGAGATCAGGAAATCTTTACAAATTAGAGAATCCCCCTTAGCCTAAGAGATATAAATCCCTTTATATCTCTTTGTAAGAGATATAAATCCCTGAGAACCTTCTGGCTTATGTTGAGAAATAAGGCAATGAACTGGGCTTCGGATGCTTGGTGCCATTTATATATTAAGGTGGTACCCAGGTCTTGATGGATCAAACAAATCTGACCTATCTATTCAACTCCACGGCCAAAGAAAGGAGCTCTTGGTGACATTCTTACTTGTTCTGATTACACAGCTATCAAAGCTGATGGAAGTGACCCTCTTGTCAGGAATTTCGTTTACTTTCTCATCAGTTACTTTTTGTCACTGATGTGATGGTCATATACAGAGCAGCTCAAAGCAATGCTGAAACTTGCTTAGTGTAATTCCTGCAATGATGTTACAAAAGAGGGTTCTAAAAACTCTAAATCTGGTGCTCCTTTAAAATGGAAACAATTATATTTTCAACAGGAAATCTACATAGTTATGAGACCTTAACTGATCACAGATGCAATATGAATGACTACTTTTCTGGCATACAAATGGTGATATTTCTATGTGTGGCTTCTAAAACGCCTAGCAAAAGGATGCTATAGCAGCAAGAGGGACCAGATCACAAATGTCTGTACAAGACGGCAGAATGTGCCACTACACAAGTGAGCAAACGATACAGATTAAAGCTCTTCCAGTGTCAACTGGATGGCTTGCTTTAGACAAGCTTTAATCTTTGCAGCTAGGGTGACAGTCACACAGGGAAGTTCATACTGAAAAAGTACGCAGCACTCAAAGGCTCAGTAACTGGGGTCCAGGGTGTGTGGAAGAGAAATATTTAAAGGGACACTGTCAAGGTTAGAGGGACCAAATTTGACCTTTTGTTTCTTCCCTCTGTTTGCTGAGCAGCCCACTTGTTTCATTACACTTTCCCCTTTAGTCCACCCACAGCCCCCACAAAAAACCTGACTTTTTACATGCGCTTTCAATGACAAAAACTCAAACGGCACCAGCCCAACATATAGGCGCAACTCTACAACAACAAACCAGTGTGAATGTAGGATGGAGAGGATCTTTGGAAGGGAAAGATTTAAGTTTCAAGCTTTTAATGGGTTATTGTAAACAGTGAGGAAAATGATTTGAAAAATTATGAAAAAAAAAATACCTTGACAGTGTCCTTTTAACCAGTGCAGCAGAGAAAGAAATAAACTGTAAATAACAGCCCAATAGCCACGTCAAGTTTAGTTTTGTATGACAGCAGTAAAATCAACACACAGCAAGACAGAAGCATTCTGTTGGCTTAGAAGCTGCAACCACCGAGAAATAAGGAAAAGACTGTACAGAGACTAAAATGGGAAAGTCAAGGCATAGAAATGGGCAAAAGAAAGGCAGTTGGGTGGGAGGGTGGGGGCGGTGAGGTGGTAAAGGGAGATGGTATCAGAAAGCAGAGAGGAATAAAGCAAAATTCAATAAAAGAGAAAAGGAAAAACACAGAACAGTTAACAAGAACAACAACAAAATCAAACAGACAAACACCAAACCAAAAGATCACTGCCACGTCTGACGGACAGCAGGATGAAACTGTATCTCCTGTACCCCACTCTAACTCAGGGCTCTAGTCAGCAGTCAGGCCCCATCCATTTTCTGCTAGGTAAGCAGTTATAGGAATGTTGCCAGTGAAACCAGGGATACTTCTGAAACCAGGATTTTTCCCCCATTAATTTCAAAATTCCACTTTGAAATTAAAGAAATATTTGGAAAACAGTAAATGAAATACTTGTCCATTAGGAAACCAGTACTGACCAGGAGAAAACCAAAATGTGTTTTTGATATATGTAAATCTTGAATCTTTTTCTAAAATTAAGCTTAGTTAGATATGTTCTAGTTGACATATTCAGACAATGAAAATAACTTTTAATTGACAACCCTAAGCACCCCCTTAAATACCTATTTCAGGTCATTTCTTTCCCTTTGGTGAGAACCCTCAGATTCTGTTAGTTCCACAAATAATTTTGCAAGGATTTTGAAATGTTGGCAATTTCTAAACACAAGGCACAATAATTTTAGTTTTACCTGACCATTCTACTCTAGGTTCTTAAACTGCATCCTGAGAAAGGAATTCAGCAAATGATTACCATGGGTTAAGCAGCATGTTTGATGCAACTGGATTTCTGTACCACAACACAGTGAAAACATACAACAAACTAAGAAGCAGTCTTTTGGGAAAGGACCTTTGATATAGCTTTCTAGTAAAGAATCAAACAAACAGGCTATCACTTGAAATAGATTTTGATTATTTTTCAAAACTATTTATTTCTCTATGAAAGGCTCTCAATAAATGGTTCCTTCAAGATTAAAAATTTAGTGAGTCTCACTGCTCTACATGGGTACAATCCTGATTATTTTGATCCTGTAGATTATATGGAGCACTCCTGAACATGGTCAGGGCCCGGGCAGCCTGTGTGACTGGCCATGCAGAATACATTTCGGGAGAGCCAAGCAGCTTTCTGGACAGGGTCTCTGATCTTGCAAGAAGTCATCTCAAAGGAAGGACAGCTCTTCTGAGTTCTACCTCTGGTTGTATTCTATCATCACAGGTTTGTTAGGTCTTCAAAAACACTGTCCATCCATCTTCCAGTCTACAGAAGTTCTCTAGCAGCAGAGCAAAATGGAGTTCAGTGCACCTAGGTTCTGGGTACTCCAAGTTCTGAGATTTAGCCAGAGAAATTCTCAGGAAGAATTACACCCTGAAAAAAGCTGTACTGGCCTGATCTGACCAACAGAGGCTACAGTCAATCTTCACCTCTCCCATCCCTATGCACTGCTAGAATTGTGATAAAATGAAAGATTAGTTTCTTTGGTAAAACCCAGAAGAAGAAATTTACATCTAAGGAGTTTCTAACTCAGATTACCAAACAGCTGAGGGAAATGAGATACAGCTATTAACCCTAAAGGGAGACTAAGGACAGCAGGTATATCCTGAATAAAATTCAGTGTGATCTTATGAATGGAGATTGTTGTCTTCCTTCCCATCTTTTACCTCATAAAGGAATCTTTCAGGGGATGTAAATAACTAACTTTTCTAGAGCAGGGACGAAGCCATGTGGAGAAGTACACTCCAGCAGTTTCTAGCACATAATAGAGGTGCTCAGTAAATTCTTGTTAAATGAATAAATTAATGTAGTTTGGAAAAGCAAAGTCAGTTTTGTTAACTATATCTGAGGGGAAAAGAACTATTTTAGAACTTCAAAAACATTAAAGGAAGGTATGAGATTTTTACATTTATAAAAAGCAGGGATTGGCAGTCATAATTTTAAAGGATAGAGAAAGACCGCCTTAAAGATACTAAAGATGTTTCTGAAAAGGAAGATGAAAACCGAAAAGGCCAAGACACCTGTGTCAAAAGTATAATAACCTAATTAGGCATGACACTATATGAGTGTAAATGAAAACTTGCTAAGTTATGATAGGTACTGAGTGTATCCAATTAATGGTATTTTAAGAGGCCTGGAACCTGTTACCTTTCAAGTGTTAACTTTCTTCCTCATGACAGTTGAGCCTGGAACCTGTTACCTTTCAAGTGTTAACTTTCTTCCTCATGACAGTTGAGCCATTCTCAAAGATGTTTCTCCAAGTAGTTACTGAGTCTTTGGATCTCACTTGACAATCTCTCTCTCTCTCACACACACTCCCTCAAAAGGAGACAAGGCACAATGCAGAATGCTTGAGCACTTCAGGAATTTAAGATACCTTTTCATTACTCAAAAAAAGCCAAAACCAAAACCAGAATCTAAAGCCCCCGAGTTACTAGCTGGTGTACAGGAGATGCAGGAAACACTTGGTCATTTCCCCAGTCTCCCCGACCAGTCCATGTTTTCAGTCCTCTTACTGGTGACTCCCCAAATGCTCCTGAAGTATGAATTACTCTATTTCCCAACCTTCTCCATATCCATTTAAAGCTGATTACCGCATAGTTCAGAGTACACAACTCCATCATCAATCAATCTGAGGGCAGCTGCTTTATGAGCTCTGATTGTTTTTATGGGCTTGGAAGATACTTCTATTTATAAGGATATATTCTATTAGAACCAAACTGAAAACCCTTTGTTCTAGTCAACCATAGCCACAAAATAAGCTTCCTCTGTCAAAAACAAACATAGAAGCTCAACATTCTAGCTGCCAATGCTAGACCAGCGAGAACAGAGAGGCAAACTCTTTCAGGGATTCTTGTGACAGTGATTAAAACAAGAACAAGGTAACAAAACAAAAACCACTTGCTATGGGATTTTTTTCCTATAGCAGCAAAATGGATGGGTCTTTAAGATAATATTACAAGTGATATATATAACTACAAGTTAACTGCTGGCCTTATACGATGACAGAATTAATTTCTATGTACCAACAACAGAACCATCGAGTCATCCTCTTTTCCACTGAGGCTGTCCACAGAGAATGGAGGAACACATCCAATTTCATTTAAAAGTTTACTAAAGAAAAATCAATGGCTGATTGAATATGGTCACTCAAGGAGAGCTTTGTTGCCTCTTTAGAGTAACTATTAAAAGAAAGCTCTTTGAGAAGGAGACTCAGCTGATTCAGTCATACTGGCAGTTAGAACTACACACTCACCCTTGCCCCCGCCTTCCCCGTACTATCAGCCAGACAAAATGGAACAAGTGTGGCCATTAAAGCTGGAACACCAGGCAAGGGACCCCAGCTCTACAACTTGTTGACTATAATGACCTCAGGTAAGCACATGCCTGAGCTTTAGATTCTTCCCCTGAAAAATGGGAGAATGGAGCAACTGACTAATTATTCCTTAGATTTCTAAAGCAATGAAATACATCTGTGATTGTAAGCATAAATTAATGGGGCTATAAGCTCTTAGTACTTGTCCTATAAGCCAAAAGCCAGTCTACTGGTCAACAGTTGTCCACTCCTACTCCGAGCTAGACTACTGGGAACAGCGAGATACAGAAACATTAACATGGTTTATGTTTGATTAACTAATTTAAGGCAAGAAGAACTCAAAGCTGCAAAGAACTTTTCCCCAAATTTCAGAATACTTAAGAGAATCCTCTTTACCACTTGGCTACTGCACCAAATAGAAACAAACCAACTTAGAAAAATTCTATAAAGATCAGAGTTGAATGACAATAAAACGCTGAAAACCATACACCAGCTTAACAACTGTTTACTACAATGCTACTCAAAGGGCTGGTCCTGGTGAGGTAAGGAGCTTATGCCAGAATGTAAACTAATGCACCACTTCTTTCACAGAAAGTCTTGCTACCAGGAAAAAAAAATAAATTTTAAAAAGTCATCATCTAAGCTAACAGCATGGTTAAGAATGTGGTTTATTTACACTCTGGAACAAGCCATTTATCTCATCCCATACTAGTAACCAACAGTTAGTTCATGGATCAGCAGCTGGTTGTAGACCACACTTGAATGAATACTAGGATATTATTTAGAAACACACGTTTTTAAAAATGTATTAAAGCTTATCTAATACCTAGAAAGAAGACAATTTCTCTGGATATCTCTAACTAGAAAAAAATCCTCACTTTTTACTGTTAGAAAGACTACATGAACCTGCTCTACATTCAAGAAGGTCTAAAGAAAAAGACAGCGTCTCAAAGATCAGCAATAATCCTTGGTTTGGACTCCATTACTTCTTGAGGACTAATGTATCCACTTCAGAGACTTTGCTTCCTCAATTCAATTCTCTACATTATTGCCTATCTACCTAAAACATCTACCTGGTCATGTCACATCCCCTGCTCTCAAAAGTACTAGGTAGACGAAACAAGACTGGACAAATGGGAGCCCATTACAGTACTCTTTCTACTTTTGTGTATTTGAAAATTTCCATAATAAAAAGTTGGGAAAAGATGATTATTTGTGTACAAGTCTCACCAGACTGTGGGGTCATACATGGTAGGGACTGTCTTATTTGCCTCTATATCCTTTACAGATCTTTCTGAGTAACAGAAGTTTACTGAATTACTGAGTTAACTTCTACTTCATCTTTTTCCTTTCTATTTTGTTTATTCTGCTGGAAGGCTTTCCCTTCCTCCCTCCCACCCCCACAAAAAGCCCTGGGAAGAAATCTGGATCCAGAATGGTGGGGATGGGAACCAAATATTCCTTGAAAGTCTATACTTCTCTGATATGAACCCCATAAAGGCTAAAGGTAGACAGGAAAAAGTGAGGCTGTCCCAGAGGACCTATCCCACAAAATTCAAGAGTTGGAATCGTACCACTTTTAGTAACAGTAACTAATTTTCATATATATAGCAAGCCCTCCCTTCCTTAAAATATAAAGATGATAATGTGCTTATATCCTGAGAACTGTAGACTCCCTCACTCCTGACAGGTAAGATGGTAAAACTCCTATTGAATACAAACTTTTGTTCTGTTTTTTTGTTTTAGGATGGGGGAACTAGGTTTATTTATTTACATGGAAGTACTGGGGATTGAACCCGGGACCTCATGTATGCTAGGCATGCACTCTACCACTGAGCTGTACCCTCCCCATGAACACAAACTTTTAAATTTCACCCACCACAAAAATTTTGACAGTCTAAGCCTGTCAGAGTTGTTAAAACACTCTCACTGTCTCATACTGAACATCACTTCCATGCTACTGCCATACTAAGTAGAGGAAGCTCCTATGCCTCTGGTCAACAAATACTTTAACCTACCTACACATTTGTATTACCATTTCGCTATTAGCCCATCAAAAACTTGACCCTACAAACATAAAACTGAAGTCATAAACAGCACACGAAGCTAAAACACACGATGGGAGGCACAATACAAAGAAATGAAGAATCAGGTGTCAACTCCACAGGTCTCCTGAAGTAGGTGGCCACAGCCAGATAAAAAGATTAACTGCCTAGCTAGCCTAGCCTTCATAAACATTTAAAGATAAATGCCTAAACAGGCATGTATAATCCCTTCTTATACAGCTCAGAGTTAAGAAACAATCAGAATAATGTTACACCATTTCTACCCTCAGTTCATATTTGTATGTGTGTATAGTTATCCACGCATTTCCCCAAAATTATTTTCAACTGAACCAAAGAAACTGTGAAAAGTTCTGTTTGTCATCAACTTACAGCTTGTCCATTAGCTTCATAAAGTGGGCATTTTTGCTTGATCTTGGCCAGTTCCATATTTACTTGTTTGCTGACCACAGCCATAGGATTCCCTCCTAGAAAAAACTCAAACAATTAAATTCAACATACTTATGAAAAGAGAACAAAAACCTCAAAGCAAAAATATTTTTACTCAAATTTAAAATATCAAAGTTTAGGGTATGTGAATTATATATCAAAAAAGGGCCCACAGTAAAGTAAATATGTAAGATAAGCATAAACAAAGCAAGAAGTTACCTATTGCCACAAATTAGTTAATGTTACAGATCCTCCTAGATTTTATGTGCATAAAATTACAAACATATACATACAAAAGGATCATAACACATGTAGTGTTTTGTAACCTTTTTTTAACTTAGCAATAAATTGTGGACATAATTTCATGTTACTATGGAGGTACACAATTTTCAGTGGTTGTACAGTTCTCATTGTATAATAATTTAATCTTCCAATCTCTGGTTTTTCTACCATTCCGCTACACCACACTGAAAATGTTATAAACACAACATGGTCCACTTGTCTACTTTCTTAGGATAATTTCCTAGAACTGGATCTGCTAGGTAAAATGTATGTACATTTTAAATTTTGCACATACTGATGTATCTTTGCAGGAAGACGTTTGTCTATTTACCTAATACTAAGAACAGTATCCTAACCAATATATTTTAAAATTGCTCCTATGACTTTAAAATACAAGATTAAACAATTTTATGACAATCTCACACCTGGTATTACAGCACAAGACTAAGAACTACTTACCAAGACCTGTTACTACCATGGCTCCAAGATCAGCTACATAGTTTCCTTTGCGAAACGTAGCAACTCGTCCACCCACACGATCCTGTTTTTCAGAAATTAAATGGCTAAAATCATCAATTCTACTTTAACCATAAGAACCTGCCAAGGTACCATCTCAGGACTCTCTCTTAATTTTAAAAAGAAAGGTGTAGCTAAGAGTTTACATGGAGTACAATGTGGCCATAAAGAGCAAATGAAGTTCAACTATTTGAGGGAGTCGTTGGTAATGAATGGCTTTTTATAAAGGTACAGAATTAAGTGATGTGAGGTAGGAAACAATTTGACAGCTAGAGGACATACTTAATTACTGGTACCATTAGCTCTCTACCCCAATGTCTCTAATACCACTTACTTACTGTAAAGGCTGAGCAAGAGCCACCCACACAGAAAAAATCTGTTCACAAATTCCAACACTAAATGGCCATCCTTCTACCACCATGTATCAGACTCTTGCCCCAAAGTGTCAAAGTCAGCTGTGAAGGATTTGATAGATGACTTCTCTGACAAATACCTCTCCAGTGAAGCCCCATGACTGGGGCAAGTGTCTGCTGAGCATGAATGTTGACAATACCTCTCATTTCTAAACAGGCCTAAGTATATCTTTGCTGATGGGGATTTTCAAGTATGGGGAAACCTTACTAAACTGCAGTGATACTTCAGTCATAGATTACATGAGAGCACTCTGTAAACTCCAAACAAACAAATGAAAAAAAGCAAAACAAAAACCTGTACACATGGGTAGGAAAAATAATGATCCCATCATTCCGTACTGTATTCTTAGCACACAGGACAGATAGCACACGAATTACTAATTAATGAACAAAATATTATTTTTAGTAAGACTTTATCAGGAATTATTTAATTTTGATTTCCCCAGACTCTACTTGAAAAGAGCATTTAACAAAATTAGCAATTTGTAAATGGCAATTTAGATTGCACTGCACAAAACACTTAAAAAGCTTTTATAAAATTTTAGATTATTTAGATTACCTGATTTTTTTTTAATGGTAGGAGTCCAGGGAGGTCTTTAAGCCACTGGAAAGATACTTAAATCTCAAAAATTACTCATGAAAAGGATTTGAATAGTAGCATCCTAATGTAGTGTTCTTTTTTTCCACTCTGTGCCATCATCCTTGTCCTCCTTCAGTTTCCATCTCTCTCGCTAAGACTAATTATAAGGAGCCAATGTCTTGGCTTTATCAGGCTATAAAAGATGGCTGCTGCCTGAGATACAACTTCTTTCCTTTTATTATCAAACAATACAATTTATTCTCTCCCACCACTAAAAATAACTGCCTCCTATAAGGGATATGTCCAAGAAGATCCCCAGGTTGAAAGTTAATTGCAAGAAACAATGACCTGAAAATATACCTCAAAGGGCTGTATGGATTATTTATAAACTCTACATCCTCACTAAGCACTTTGCAAAATTTTACTGGCAAAAATGCTTTATCCAACGTAGTTAATACTATCCAAAGTACTTTGAGCATTGCATGAATCAGCTCCATCTGCCTGATTCCTTAACTTGCAACAGATAATTTCCTTACCATAATTCCATTAGGTCAGGCCTCTAAACCCCAAATAAAGCCTCACCCTGGCTTCTAGAAGTGTGACGTCCATCCCGAAGCTCTGTAGCTGACGAGCCGCCGCCAGGCCCGATACCCCCGAGCCTATGATGATTACTTTTCCTGTCTTTTTAGCTATAAGCAAAACATGAACAAAAATTAAAATATTTTGTTATAGGTTTAAGAGTTTTTATCTTTTTTTTAATCAAGAAAACCTCTAGGCTCTTAACATGTCATGATGTATTACAAAGTAAATAATTCAGTTATTTTCAAAGTCTGAAAACTATCTGAATACAAATTAGCAAATATCTGAAACTTCATACACTTTAATTCCTTTAATTTGATACTGAAAATTCATAAATGAAATCCTGTCTCTTAAGATTTACTTTCTCAGTTGGGAGGGTGTAGCTCAGTGGTAGAATGCCTGCTTAGCATGCATGAGGTCCTGGGTTCAATCTCCAGCATGTCCATCATGTCCATTAAGAAAGAAGGAAAGAAAGAAACCTAATTACCCTCTCCCTCCCAAAAAGATTTGCTTCTCATTACCTCAGTCATGCACTTCAGTATCTGTGACCCTTGGCTAATTCATTATGAATAATCTCCCTCATATACCTCACAATTATTCTAGGATAATTTGAGCAGTCAACCTGTTCTTAAAGCTATTTTCTTTAAGCTCTACTTCTGCAGTCTTTAGTTTCCCTTTTAAAAAGTTATTAAAGCATAAAATAAATGTATTAAAAATAAACAAACAGATGTATCAATTCTCAAAATATCTCTATCTTCTTATTCCTGGTAGACATTATCCAAACACCATGATATGGGTAAAAGCATTTAAAAAATAAAAATGCAACTTTCAGCAGTATAAAGAATTGGTCGAGAGAAAATAAGCTTCCCGCTTTCAAAACTGACTTTTTCCATTTTTAACAAATTTTAATTTTTTTAAAAATTGAAATTAAGTATCTTTTTGGTTTTTGGGGGGAGGGGGATAATCTGTCTGTCTGTCTGCCTGTCTATTTATCTATCTATCTATCTAAATGGAGGTACCGGGGAATGGACCCAGGACCTCATGCATGCTAAGCACACACTCTACCACTGAGCTGCACACTTCCCATTCCTGAAATTCAGTATCTTTTACCAGGTATTTATCAAACCAGAAATTACAGGATGTTCACATTTATGAAGAGATTTTACTTTAAGTTTGACTAAGAAGAAGATAAACTTGGGAATATTCTGACTCTAAATATGAATTTAGAAATCAAAATAAAATGCTAAAAGCCTCCTGGAATCTAATTTAAAACCACGAAATTCACTGGCCAGGTCCTTACTTGGGAGGGGCTTTATCCTCTTATAGATGCCGAAGTTGATAAGACCATGACGCTCTAAGTAACTGTGAACTCGGTGGACAAGAACAGTATCACCTACAGAATAAATGAATTTAAAATGTTTATATTTTTAGCATTTTAAACAGAAAACTCTTTAACTCTTCTTATTTCTCCATCATGAAGCCATTCTATCCATCTTTTCCATTAGCTTCAAGTATCGCAACTTCTTTAGAAAAGTGATTCTTAGGATGATTAGTCTGTGTAGCAGTCCAAAATGCACATCACATAATTTAGAATTTTTAAGAATGACATCCCATTACAGATGAAATGAAGGACAAAACCAACCCTTTCAAAAGTAGTATTATGTTCATTTACTTTAGCAAAAACTTTGAGAGACTTTGTTGGTTGCAAGTGGGAAATGAGAACGCCAGATAGCCAGCCAATTAAATGCCAACAAAGTACTCCATGGATTAAAGCTGGAACATAGGTCTGAAGAAGTTATTAGCAATCTCTTGAACTCACTCACCTGTCAACACAATTAAAAAATAAGAATTTTAAAATCTGTAGTCACAATTACAAACACACAAACATACAAAATAGTATTTCTACAAGGTTCATTTTTTGCACAGCATAAGATGAAATAAGATGAAAACATGTATGAAAAAATTAATTATCAAAGAACTATGAGATTCTGGAAAGCAGTATCAATTTTCACAATCCAGTCCTATTGAACACACTACTTACTGTTGTAAGGTGCTTCCAATTGTTGGAGAGTGGCCTCAAATGTCAGCTGAATCTTTGGATTATCCAACCACAACTGCAACTGTATTTAAACGATAGAAACTGTATTACATACAAATAGACATATACCATTTGATCACTTTAAAATACCTTTTAACTTAAAGGCCTCAAACATGGGTTTTCCTTTCAGTGAAACAATAAGGGTTATGCTCCTGACCAAGAAACTAATGAAACATAAAACCATGTCAAATGAGTGAACTACTGAAGAAGCTGGGAGATATTCAGCCTGAAAAAGAAAAATATCTAGTAATTTGTCAAGATCACACAGCTGGTGAGCAACAAGTATTTAAACTTGGATTAGATGACTCCAGAGATACTGAGTAGACAAAATACACAAAATGAAATGATCAATTGGACATGCATGGAGTGGGGATAGAGGTAGAGGTACAAAGGATAACGCCTCAATTTTTGGCTTTCACAACTGAATGAGCTGGTATGCCATTCATTGAATGAGGGACACTGAAAAAAGAGATAATGAGTTTAGTTTCAAGACAAGAGGAGGTAAGAGAGGAGGTAAGACAAGAGAGGCATCTAGATATACTGGGATTCGGAGGAAAGTTAAGGTTTGGAGCTGCTTGCTTATGGGTGATAACTGAAGCCAACTGTGTAGAAGAGGGTTCCTAGCGGGAAATAACAGGGGAGAGAGGAGAAAAGGAACTCCAACCAGGTCACACAGTGGCCTGCTGTTAAGGATAAGCCTACAAAGCATTCAGAGAAGACAACAATCAGCGAGGCAGGAGAAAAACTAGAATACCGTGTTAAGCTACGGGAGATGTGTACTTAAGAAAGGAGGAGTCAATTCTTTTGAATACTGCTGAAAAGGCAGTGAGGTGAGGCATGAAAAACATGGTATGATCAATGGGTTCTAACAATGAATTCTTTTCAAACTGAATATCTGCAAAACGCAAGACCAACTGAATACCATATTTAAGTCTTAGCCAAAAATAAAGACTGCTCTATAAACAAGTTTCAATGAAGGAATTAATGTGTAAATAAATCCAATTACAAAGAGATATGACTAAATCCATATGTACCCTCTACTTTTCTCAAAGGAAAATGGAATTCCTCAAGTAAACAGCAGGGCCAAGCTCATAAACCCTCATTACAAGCCTTCTTCCTCCTTCCATCTTATAATTAAAGCTCAGGTTATAAGTTCTAGTTGAATAATCTTAAAATCGTGGTTTTAAAATCTGAAAGCAAAAGATGCAGTTTAAGATGAGAGAACTGACACAATTCTTACAGTAGAGAATGACTTAAGTACTGTTTATAGCCAGAGACCACAACTCTAAACTCAGCTAATCCTTCCCCCAGTTTGGACTTCTGGTCACACAGAATGGATCAGAGAAAATAGAGATCACTATAAATCCACCACTCAGATTCAAGTAAAAAGTGAAAACTTCCCTCAGATGAAACAAACAAAAAATGACAATTCTGTCTAAAATCTACTTAGAACAAATGTTGACATGCTACACACAGCTGATTCAATTATAAGACAAATCAGCCTCAGAAATACACATTAAGAATTTTCCATTAACTTTAAAAAAAATCACCCTATTTTTCTTCACAAAAAAAGAACCTTTATTCTGTACTATAAAAACCTACCAATCACTCTAGCTAATTGGCATTTAACAATCCAAATTTAGCAGTGGTTTTGCTATCTAACGGTCAAAATAGAGACGTTAGTGATGGCTAAAAAGACTTCTTTGAGCTTATTCAAAACAGTTGAAATTACAACATAAATTTCTTCTATTTTGTATTACTCCAGAGTACAATGAATATGTTCTGAATAGTATCCTGCCCTCCTCTACTCTCTAGGTATGGAATTTCTGATGAGTAAAGGACATGAAAGAAAAATTCACAGAATACAAATGACTAATACATGAGAAAAAACAATTAGTCTAAGTAATCAAAGAAATGGAAAATAAATGATTTTGGTCTATTACAGCAGCATAGATCATCATCGTTTTAATTACAAAAACAGGGTGCGTAATGAGGGTGTTAACTGGGTTAGCCTCTCTGGGAAGTAATCTGACAACATGTGTCAAATCTTAAAAAGTGTTTGTACTTTTTAACAAGATAGTTTTCCTTCTAGAACTCTATCATAAAGAAATAAGAAGAAGACATAGAGCCATGAATGTATAAAGTTGTTTAGAGCTTCATTATAATAAGGCAAAAAAGCACATTTAACTGCCCAACAGTTAAAGTACAACCCAACTGTCAGACAAAATACTAGGCAGACATTAAAAGTAATCATTTAGCCAGAAGAGGAGGATGAACCAGATGCGCAGAACAGAGTAAGGGGTTCTCTTATCCTGGGAAGGAAAGACAAAGTGACTATTTTAGAAGTATATTTCTTTAAAAAAAAAGTTTAGAGATTCTTATTGTGTGTTCATGAGGTTATGACGAATGAAAAGAATCCAAAGAATGCATGGAAGTAGGATCTCAATTTTGTAAAAACAAAAATTAAAATATACATTAAAAGATATCTGGAGGAAAAAAATAATTTTAACAGTGGTTATCTCTGAATAATAGTATTACAGATAATTTAAAAATTCTTTCCTCTCTTTCTATTTTCCCCACCTCACATTCTCTATAAAAGTAACATGCACCTTTTCTAATCCAGGTAGAAAAAGCTGACATGGAAACTTACTGTACGGTTCCTAATAAATAGAAAAACCTTCTGTGTCTGCTGTGGTCCACTGATGATATCTGGAAAACACGCTGCTTCTTGAGAAGTCATCCGATCATGCGGAAGTCTACTCTGGAAAGCTGCACCCTCTACACCTAACAAAGAAAAGCAAAGGACTTCTGGGAAAAGTGCAAGTGAATATAAAACTAAAAATAATGATTATGGCTCAAAATTCTCTTTTGTCTGAAGAACCTCTGTAAAGCTTTGCCTCATATGCAGACTGATCTCACTTCCTTTAAAAAAAAACTTTCAATTTGCTCAAAAGCTGAAACATTGTTAGAATTTAGTCATTCTTTTGAGTTTAACATTCCAAAAATCAGACTTTGAGTGAAAAAATATGAGTGAAAAAATAAACCTTATAAAACATAACAAGGCATTTAGAATATTTTCTTCACCTACCAAAAAACTTAATAAAATTAGAGGATATGCTAATTAAAATTACCATCACTGATAGCATACAATAAATTTTAAAACTGAAGAACTAGAGTAAAGGAAAATTCACTAACAAGAAAGCAAAAGAGGCTAAGGGGTGAAAAACACAATCCCATGCCTTCTTTTAGTACGACAACAGGGAACATGAACAGGACGCTAAGGTTTAATAACCAACACATGATCTCATCAATGGTACCATCCATTAATTCTCATAATTCAATGCTGGTAAGCAGTGAGAGCAATTAAGCAGACGACAATGATGAGGCAGAAGCAAGCAAGGAAGGAATTTTCTGGCAGAAACATCAGAAATGCTTTACTACACATTGCAAATAAAGTATGCCACTGCATATATTACATATACATACAGTATATGCATACATATAACCTATATAATAAGTATAATTCTTAAAACTGGATATTAAGTTGATGTTTTTATAAGCTGGTGGTTAAGTTTATCTTTATAAGATGTCCTCAGAAATACATTTACATATATTTTACTTGCATTTCTAAGATGATCTTATAAATATATACTTAATCATCAGCTTCTGAAAATATCAAGACACAATTTAAAGAGTTTCAAAATTCAATATTAATGAAGTAATTATATTAGTAATCAAATAAGCACCAGGTAACCACAGTCAATCATTTTAAAGCACATAAAACAAGTTGGAAGCACTGATAACAGAAGCAACATTAAAGGAAAAGTATTAGTAAGATTCGGAGAACAAGACAGGTAAACATGAAACTTAGAAATACAGCTAAAGCTATTGAGGTATTGTTTGCATAAAGACATCCAAACACTACCTAGAAAAAAATAATAGTTAACAAGAGGTCAAGCAAAAATACCTAATGCTAATATGGGCTGCACATTAAGAAACACTGTTCTTGGAGACCAGGAGAAAAACTCAACCATCCACAGTAGATAATGAGGGCACAGATACTGTATTCACAACACTAAACTGAATTAATAATCCTCACATTTAATGATTCTCAACCTAAAATTAAAGATTGTCAGGATAATTAATTATTCCTTAAGGAAAAAAAAATCATAAGTAACAGCCATATTGTGGAGGGTGGAACATGAAATTAAGGCATGAAAAGAAGAAATACCGACTATTAGAGGTATAGGTTATTTCAGTAATGTGAAATTCTAAAATTATACAGCTTTGATGTCCCCAGTCCTGTACTCCGAAATCAGAATAAACAAAAAAAGCCAAGACCCAAACAAAACATGCCACATTTATATGGAACATTATCTACCTAATAATCCTGAGTACTTGGACCAAATACCTCTTAAAAAGTTACTTCTTAGTATATTTCATGAGTGTGTACCATTAACAAGACCACCAATGAAGTCTAGAAACTCTACTTCTCCCTCCCAAATATAGGGGTAGTTTTCTTTCTTAGCTATATTATCTTCTGTATGTTTGATAAATAGTCACTGAACATCAATCCTACTGCAAAATACTATTGTCAATGACAGCCGGAAAAATCATGTGGGAAAAAAACCCCACTAAATCTTATATTTGGCTCCTCAATCCAAGTGTTTGAACTATCAAAAATCACTCCAATATAGCTGGCTAACTTTGGGAAATCTGGAGAATATATAACAATTAAGAAATTTTATTCATATAAGTCATGTGACAGTTTTAAATTATATTTGAATCAAACATTAGAAGTTTAAAAAAAGGAATTATTAAAGAAGCCGAAAGTTGTGACATTAATGTATATGTGGAATAACATTGCTCTCCAACTCTATCCTCTACATAACATCTAAAAACCCTCCAATTATTCTTGTAAGTAAATGAAATTTTTAAAAGTGAAAAGTGATCCCTATAAATTCTCAAGAATTACTGCCTGCCTTCTGGTTTTTAGAGATAAAGACTATTATTCCAAGGAAGGAAATCATTATCAAAATCAAGATGAAAAGTATACAAGATAAAAAATCTAACCTTTTTTCAAAGAAACAAAAATGTTAATTTGGAACCTAAACTGTTCAGAAGCTAAATCAAAACATTCTTTTTGTAAGATATTTTCAAAATGAACTAACAGACCACTCTGGATGACCTAACTCTTAAGTAGATCCTTTAGAGGGAAGAATCTTATGGAATACAATAGACTCCAATAATATTAAAAGTACCAGCAGTACACATAATTCACACCTGGCTCTGGAATACAGCTTTATAGTCTGGTGTTTGTGTGAACTTACAGAATCTGGTGTTCTGAAAATTTAGAATGTTTCAAAGATGCTATTTTAATTTTTTAAAAGCCCCAAGGATGCCTGCACACCAATCTTGCCCTCTGTTCAATTCTTCTTTCTCACCACTTCACAGAGGAAATTTCCAGCATCATCTTTCAGAATGCAGTCATGCTAAAGCAGAACTGTCCCTTCTAATAGTCTGACTGGCTCATATTTCCTCTGAAAACACAGTAAAAGTAGTTAAATATTTCAGGGAATAATTTGGACCTTTCCAGATATATCAATGAGAGAGGCAGAAAAAGGGAATGTGAGGGAAGACAGGCCCTCTATTCCATAAAATCATTTCCCCGATTCTGGTATGACACAGGCAGCATCTTGACTAGAGTTAAAGTAGCAGAGATAATTAACAGAAAAGAAAATAAAGCCTCCATGAGAGTTACTTGCCTTTTTTCTCCCTTCGTAAAGCAGACAAAATGAACTGTAACTAGATTTCTAGCTAAAAAGTGAAAACAAAAGCCTGATAGGATCTACATATAAACTACTTCAAATTAGCAACTACAGATAACACCATATCCAGTCCTATAATAGTTTAAAGATATAAAGAATAAAGAATAGGGGGAGAGGAAAGAAAAAAAGGCAAATTCTATGATTTCTTATGCTTTAAGATTTTTTATTTTTAGGGTAAACGCACACTTTAAATGATTCTATGAAGAATAGTCTATGCATAAGAAACGAGACCTCTGGGTTCTCACTCCTCCGTTGTTGGTATATACCTGGTTGAGTCATTTAACTATGTTTTAGGACCTAACCGATAAAACAGAGGTGATCCAATACCATCTGTTTGAAGGCAGAAAGCTAGGCAAGATGACCTCAAGTTCCCTTCTAATTTTTAAGATTTAGGATATATCAACTTGATGTGAATTTTTAAGTCAAGATAAGATCCTGGTCCCAAGATATTCATGAGGGTCATTTGGCTTTAAGAAGAACATTGATCATTTACAAGCACAGTTTTTAACTCTTATCATCTCACAAATGTAGTCTTGTGAACAAGACAAATATCTGAAGAAGAGATTTTGAAGGGTTCAGAATAGTCACCACTGTTCCTGGAAACACTTAAAACGCATGCTCTACTAATATTAAGTCAGTAGCACCACAGTTTTATATGAAAGTTTGCTTTTACTTTCAGCAATACAACATAGTGTTTACTTAAGCAAAAGAGTAAATTTATTATTCATGTAAAAACAAAACAAAAAACAAGAAAACTCACTTCTTCGGGATTAAAGTTCGAAAGACTATATCCCTGATCCTCAACAGTTCCATAGAAGATCCGATTGTACATTGTTTGATGAAAAGCATTCTTGAAGATTTATCTGCCAGATACAGACTCTAAATGAGAATTTTAACTCCTCTAAGATAACCATATACTGATTACCAACCTCCAATCCTTGGGACAGCATTTAAAGATGTCTACTTCTAACATTCTGGATCCCCTAAGTACTAATTTCTGTATTATGCTGAACTATCTTTGTTTCAATAGAGTAAAATACAAATATTCCCTGGACCTCCTGTATACAAACTACAATAAATAAATTTTAAAGTAGACTTAAGAGTTGAAAAGTGACAAACTTCAAACCTATTCCAAGTCTATCAAAATGTATACATAAACCAGTTTTGAGCACTGGAACACACAATAACATCCTTTAAGAGACAAAGGATAAAATCCAGACATTCTACTTTGGATTCCTGAAACAAACTTTAACTGTTCCAGATGGGCCCCAATAAATCATTTAACCCTTTACTTTTTCTTTGAAGTTAAAATCTCATAGTTGGTCTGAAAGCAAAGAGCACCTCGAGCAGACTTTTTAAAAAAGATCTATTTTCGTATGAGAAACAAAATGTTTACACTGCAAAATGACTGACTGTAATGTTAACTGAAAAACCTGTATCCAATACCACTTAACAACCATTTCTAAAAAGAGTCACCTGCCTGCATAATTCCTCTGACTAGACCTGGGATGCCTTTCCATCCTACTTTTCTGCAGGCTTTCAGCCTACGGCTTCCCCTCTCTGCGTATACAGCTGTATTTCTTTGTAAAGTTCCCACGACTCCTAACTATGTTTTATTTATTCTTATTGTAAAGGCTGCTGGGGAGAATAGTACCCGCCATCTCCTCAAAAACATGAAGAAGAGTGGAGGGCTGAGATCGGCCTGAGGACTTCAAAAGGTTTGCTTGCCTTTGTCCTGGCTACACTCTCTCCTACTACACTCCTCTGTCCTGTGGGTTAAAGATCCCCTGCGCTTCTGGCTAAAATGTGGGTACACAGCCAAAAACACTTGCAAGCATCAATCCCTGACTTGGCAGCTCCTGCTACTAAGTGGCAAGCATCTAATGCCACCCTCACCTGATGCTTGGCCGTCTCCATACCCTCCAGAACTGTCGTCTTGAAGTCCTCCTGCTTGCC